CTTGATCCGCTGGTTAGTCACGCTGCATACTGTTGTCCGCTTACCTGCCCACCCTGCTTTTGTCAATACACGTGGGGTTCAGGCGATCTAACTGGTCTTCCTACTTCCATACTCGGCACGTCTACTGCGATTAGCATCAGAGTAACATCCCAGACGCATGAGCTTATGTCTGTATTCAATGGAACAGCGCACACTAATAGAGACATTTAAAGTCATGAAGAGCTTTAGTGATATTCAGTATACTGATATGTTTGACACAGCCGAGTCAGGTAACCTGCGAGAACGTCACTTGAAGCTCAATCATCAGATATCTAGGTTGGATATTCGTCTGAAATTCTTGTGAATCGTGTAGTCAATAGTTGGTATTATCTACTTCCAAGGTTAATAGTAGCAGCTTAGAAGCCTAGACAGGTGTTGGAATGGACTTCCTCCGGATTTATTGTAATCTTATTGTATCGGTTCGCAAGCACCTCGTGCTGCATGACAGTACAGAGCATGCTTTTGTTTTGCTTCAATCTTTTGCAAAAGCCGCAGAATCTAATCAGACGTCGAAGCACTTGTTCGCTTACAGGTGCAGGAAACAGGACGCCCGTTAAGCGGAAGCCAGTATCAACTTTGGAACCCGACTCCGCCAACCTTTTGAAAACGCTAGGAGTTACTGCCTTAAATCCGTGCTTCATGGAATACGGTCATAAAGTCAGGAACAGCAGCAAACGAATCATGAAGAAATGTCTTAGAAAAAAGCGGTAGCATCGGCCTCTTTGGAATCTAGGCTGTCGTTGTTCGGTCAATAATTCGTAAGTCGCGCTGATGCATTTCAGTAATGTGCGCTCCATTCTTGTTAAATCAGTGATCTGTGTCATGATGCAGCGAACTGAGCATTTGAATACAGGGAGCATCCGGGTACCAGATAATTGGCTGCATAATGATGTGAAAAATGGGGTTATACGACTCGGTGGTTATTTTCCCATCAGGTCTGACGGCCCGGTTCGTGGTGGTGGCGCGACAACTTACGGTAATCGAGGTTGGTACAACTCGGCAACCGTGATATTGGCATAATCGAGCAATTCTATAAGCTGCAATTTAACTGAATTAAAACCGAAGTTCTTGAGTGGCTTTCAATCAGTCATCGCTGGAAACGTATGTATTGCTCTTGACACATCTGCGTTAATCGAAGCTACTTGAGGACGAAGTTTCCTAAATGCTACCGCTTAAATTAGATCGTTCTATCGATATAGTTGCCTGCGACTTTAACAGAAAGAATACAACGTTGCTGAAGACACATGGCTGGGTAGATCTAGTGAGTTTTCGACCAGTTGAACGCTGTACACATAAATAAACGGCAGCTGTTTTAGCTACAAAAGCGGGCTCCTTGGAACAGCTCAGACCATTGTGTTTCAAAATTGTATCCAAAAATATACAGCCGATTTCATTTTCACACTGAATAGGCCCCTTTAAAAGATTAGCAAACGACGAAATTGCTACTTCGAAAATATCAAAAGGCTCCAAACGCTGTGTCCTTTAACTGATTTGTTGGTGTTTAACGAAAAGGAACTGTCGATTCAATGTGACCATTTTACAGACTAAATCAAACAGTGCTTTGACATGTGTTGGACAGATGGAACGATCAACATAAGGACAGGTAGAGTTTCATCAACATCGCTAAAGTGACTTTGAAGGTTGGAAGAATGGGCTTACAAATGCAAGATTGTTGTCGTGTCAACTAAATCTGATATAAAAAGGCTAAGCAACTCATACGTCGAAGCGGTCCTAGGCAACCACAACTCTCGTGATCTACGAAGGCTTTTGAAATGACTCTGTGGTAAGAGTTCCTGCAACTGTAGCGGTGAAGTAGATGTGAACAAATTGAATTCGGAACATAGTTCCGCCTCACCAAGCTCACCCCTTGCCCTCCTTCAGTAGTTCAAGTCCAGTTGCACCCTTCATTCAAAGCAACGTTCACAACGAACCCAAGTCAAACAAAGCTAGTGGTCCGGAGGCTCTCTTACCATTAGCTTGGAAAGAGTGTTGATTCGTTCCCATTGCATTTAACAGATTCGTTCAACAAATGCCACACTATGGGTGTGATCTCGGACATTAGGAGAACACCCAGTTTAATCTCAGTATCAAGAAGTTAATCTCAAGAGTATCGGTCGATTGCGTGCGCAACTGCGGTTTTTAAAATTTACAAGAACTTTAACCGCTGGTTTGTACAACCACTCCTGAGGACGATATTGACCATCTGCGTACAGACTCCAGCGCTCTATAGTGGATACAGCAGCATACCTTGTTCCTTCTATAGTCCCTGCATTAGACCAAAAAGGTAAATCCGTGCGGCTTCTCCTTTTTGATTATTCGAATGCCTTTGGAGGACTGAATAGGTCAATGTTGCCAATACTCGTTATCCGAAAATGCAGTTCACCCAAGTGTGTGTAATCTGTTGCGTGAGTATTTTACGGATCGCACTCAAATCACCAAGATAAACGGTAAGAAAACCTCTGGCCTCCGTGTTGACGGTGGTATTCCGCATAGAGCGATCCTATCACCTTTCTATATTCTTTATATGTTAAATTTCGAACTGGTTCGAACGAACACATGCACAAGATTGTGTGGGCAGAATTAAAGCGGCCACAGAAATATAACCGAGAGCCGAGTTAGAGTGCGGTAGTACGGCGTGGTAGTGTGTGGTGAGTTACAAGTGCATTTGGAACCCTTTCGTTGAACAACACACTAACAAACAAGTCAAAGGAGTTTAGTGATGAGCACAAAAAGTATGTACAAAAATATAAATGCATCAAAAGTTGCAAGGCAAAAAAACGCAAATCGAAGTTATGTTCCATAGCGGAATACTGCAGGCGTATTCAAGGGGGTCAATTATTATCCGTCTGCGTATGTGCACCTGAAAAAAGCGAATTGCACGTAAACGTAGCATTGCCGCTTGTGTGCATACACATTTGGAGACCAAAATCCTGTCGAAAATCACTCAGAGCACTTCAGTTATTGCAAACCATCGCTGCTTCCCCCGGACCAGGTACCTTCGTGTGCAATCAGGTTATGATTTGTAGCTGCGCCTAACTGCGAGAACGGAGTAGAAAGGAATCACGAATGCGAGGAATGTTATCACGTGACTGTATCATTAATTATCATTGCTACTATACCAATCAAAAAATGTATAATTTCGGCTGCAAGGTGCCCCCGGCCTCTGGTTCTGGAAATGAGCGTATTTCGAATTCGCACCAACGAATAGATCATTTCTGATACATTTACTTTTCAACCGGATGCACGGTTCGGCATTATCTATACTTGAAAAGCGTTTGATCTAATTATGCTACAAGGTGTTCCAACTACGACTGGTATGAGAATAAGAAATCAGTGCGGAGTAGTGTTGTGAAAACCTCAGATGTGGGCGCTTCCTTACCTACTGCAATCGCAACCAAGTCAGTAGAAGACATGAACAAGCTCTAAGTGGACTTCTGTCCAGATGCACACATAACAGGATGGAAGAAAACACGTAAAAACGTATTTGTATCGCTGGAGTGACTTTATACAGTCAATGAGGATTCCAACCTTCCCCTCACACTAGATGCGGTGACAACCGTAAACAGATCGGTTCAGTCTAGCTGGATTGCTTGAACCCAATCCAACAACCGCATGATGAACAAAACAGCTGACACCGCTCAACAACTGCCAGTCAGTGTAAATACAGCCCTTATCACCTTAGGATGTATGGGAATGAGAAGTAGACTGACAATACCGGTTCCACTACCTCAGTAAGCGCCCAGTGATACCATCTGAATCCGCGCGTGATCGATATTGCTGGAGAGATGGCCTTGTGTGCAAACTACAGACAGGCCGATAGGCTCAGTACCAACAGCGCTACCATCGCTGGGATGGCAAAAAAACAAGAAAAATGCCAGAATTGTTACATGTGAGGGATAATCTGGCAGTGTGGAGAGGAAGGGTACGTTTCCCAGGATGCACCGACGTCGAAAACAAGGAACTCGTCGCACCTCGTCTCTAGTTAACTGCCGATCACAATGAATGCAACAATAAGTAGCTGAGTCAAAACTATAATGCATATAGATCTTCCGAGGAAATCAAACGCGAGGTATTTCTTCAAGCATTTCAAGTCATTCGCATTCCACTTCCACCGATCCCCGGCCAGGAAGACTAATAGAACCAAAGGTGACCACACCCGAAGTTAGTGATTTCATATTTAGTCACCATAGGCATCAGCAGTACGCCGGCATGCAGTACCGACGTTTCGCTGCTGCGCAACTACCACCGGTCGCACGTGGGCTTAGGATACTATGAGAGTCACCCTGCCCCTACGCAGACTCGAACCCAAGCCGTCAGATTACAAGTTTGTTATCTTCAGGCTTCGAACAGGCATGTGGATGTCTGACAAACACCAATTATCGGAGAAGCAGTTGGTACATATCATCCACGCGAATTCGACAGGACAAGGTGCCATACATTACGATCACTTTAAGGAGGCATTGCCATACAAATAAAAAGAGTGAATCTGGATCCAGCCTTCGTGAAGGTGCTTCACCCAGTCTGGTTCCATCATCTGACCTTGCAGGATCCATGATTCAGCCCTGCACATCTGCACTTTTCCAATGTTTACATCGCTGGTGCGTGTGCCAAAGGACAGCGGGCGCCGGATCACATCCAACTAACTCCACGCTCCATTTCAACACACATGCAATATATAAGGGTGTCTCAAGGCTGTTCGCCTAGTCATAGTAACAGACAAATCCAACGAAGGATGGCGTCGACTGGGATCGTCAACACTGAATTTGGGGAGATGTACAGCGGAACACTGAGTTCTTTAGTGCCTCGACCTAGCGATTTAACAGGCACAAGCATTTCACTGTACATCAGAAGACTAAAACAAGCAGACGTTACGGGCAGCATAACTGAGTACACCGAAGCTACTAAGTTTTAACTCAGATGGCTAAGTGAGAATATAACAGTGTTTTCAGATATAAACTCACCCGAGTGAGTACATTTGATATGCTTGCTCAAACCGTTATTTCGGGTAAACGAGGCACCACACTGTTCACATTTAAAGCGTTCTGTAGTACAAAATTGAAAGTGAATATTTACAAAAAATATCGCAATTGGATGACAGCCATGATCTGTTAGATTAAGAGTATGGAACGGATGGCTAGCAAAGGCCATTGAAACCGAACATTTGTGCTTTGTAACAGCGACTACCTATGTAACACGAAATAGCTGGGAGATAGATTTCATGGAGTCTAGCGTCAGCAACCACCTCATGCTATTACCGCTACAAAGTGAAAGAGTAGAGAATCGACGATCAAAGAACTTGACACAGAGCCAGACAAATTCATGAAGTTCGGCGGACGACAGGTAGATACTCGGCATCATCATCGTAGCACAGTAGTTGAAGGCGAGCATCGCAGTTCAGCTATTTCACGACAATAAAAGAAAAACGGAACAGGAATTTCTCTTTATACTTCCAAATAAGAATGTCAGAAGACGAAGAGTATAGGATGACAGTGTCATTTCGTGCATACTCGTCAACCACTTGCAAGCAAGTAACAAGAAATGAGAAACGTTATAGGAAATCAAGTATTGATCAAGTGTTTTCCGATTGGTGCGTTGCACGCTGCCACGGTAGACTTAATGTCAGTGCCAACTGCTTATGGACACACAGCGGTGGTCGTTGTCGATCGACAACAATGGCCTCGAGTAGTTTGACTATGTGAGGTCTGGCATTTGTGAGGGTCTGACACCATGCCCCATGGCTCAGTGGTATAAACTGACCGGCAGCTGCTAACGGTTATGGGATTAATTTTCTGCAGGGGACCGAGGTGATACGCAAGAGTGACGTGCCCCAAAGTGGCGAAATGATCGTCTGGCGCTTTGATTGTCGCGCTTCCGAGCTGCTGGGACGAAGCAGTTAAATTTCATATAAAATCCTCTTACTTGTCAGCAAATACAGAGTCCACATTCAAATGTGAACTTTCCCCAAATGCTCTCTACCTTGATGGTAAACCTATCCCCTGTAATAATACTATACGTGGTCTAGACATTCGTGAGCAAATTGCATTCATAAGGGCCAGATCACAAAGAGGGGTAAAACTCATCTTAAAATCATCTCCGATGTGTGAACATAAGTGTGATGGGGGCTGAAACTGCTGGTGAGTGGAAATGCTACGGTACCGGTAGGCAAATGGCCAATCGAACGCCACCCGGTATCTGGCGAAATACCAGACAGGTGTAACCCAGCCCGATGGAAAGTGAGCATGTCATCGGAACCAGAGTGGTCAGCCGAGCAGCGAATGGTCGGCGCACGGTCACATCGAGCTCTGCAAGTACAGTCAGCAAACATCCATTGAGTGTGCAGGTGACCAATCAGGCGTCAACAGGTTCCAAAAGCGCAGGCGTGGAAGCGCGTACCCGTAAGGACTACATTGGTGTGCACTTGAGCCAAGGTTTGTTGTGGTATTAGACTAAGAGAAGAAGCGTGTGTCCTGATGGACGAGGGACTAACCGATACAAGCGTACAATCCACGCAGAAAGTCAACAGCGCAGCTCGAGGTAATTTTAGACAGAATGAACGTTGCGAACAAGCATAAACCAATGGAAATGGAGCCAACCACATAATGCAATTAACAAGGAATCACAAGAAGAGCTGCATTCAAACCTTGTTCAAGAGAGCGGAAACGCACTGCAGCACAGCCGAATCGCGGAAACAGGAAGAGCATCACCTATATCGAGTGTTTAGAAACAACGGTTATCCGAGAAGTTTCATCAGAAGAAGCTTAAAGAAACGAATGCCTCAGCAACAGCAGCAATCATCTGGTCAACTAAACAAACGGATAGTGCTGCCCTACATCAAGAACGTCTCCGAACTAACAGGAAGATTGCTGCAATCACATGGAATCTCAGTGGCTCACAAGCCAAGTGCCACCCTAAGGAAATTGATCTCAAGACCCAAAGGAAAAGTCAATGAAACCGACCAATACAATGTCATCTACCAGCTAAAATGCAGTGACTGCGCTAAAATCTACGTCGGACAAACTGGAAGAAAACTTTGTACACGAATCACCGAACACAAGGCGGCAGTCAGAAGGCACGATCCACACTCATTGGTTTCTGCGCATGAAGATCAAGAAGGTCACCATTTCGATCTGGAGAGTGTAAAGATCCTAGCACATGGAAGTACAAAACACGAGAGGGAATTTTTGGAAGCCTGGTACTCTACAACGCATGCAATCAATCGACACATCGAACTTGACGCAGTATACGCCACGCTACTGACGAAGGACCGACAACTCGATCGATTGAATCCGGTGGAACGTGTGACTAGACAACCCGAACTGGCGGCAGACTCGCTCGCATGAGCAAGCGGACAAAGGAGGTGAGGTCAAGGTCATCTGCCCATTAAGCAAGCTGAACACGGATCGAAGTCCCAACCAATAGGATTGCTCGGATCCACGGCCAACCACGACGGTATAAAAACGCACGCACACCACGCTCAGCGCACTCTCACCGAGGCTCCTCTACGCTACTCTACGCTATTGCACGCCACTCCACTACGCACTGATGATGTCACCTCGATTGGTGACGAAACGTTTGCAACAAAATTGCCAAGCTCAGCGAACAGGCTCAACAAGGCCACAAGTTCAAGGTGTTTGACTCGTACTATAAGTCCCGAGCCACACGAAGTTGCGGGTGAATCCAGTTTCACGACTCACCGCAAGACAACACACAAATCAGCTACCACTGCTCACCAGGTAGGGTATAAAGGTAACATAGCATGCCAAAGAAGTGGACGCAACGAGAGTGGGTGGTTCGTCAGAATGAAAGAACAATAACAAGATGCAAGACGGCCAATTGACTACGCAGAAGTGCTTGCGGCCATGTGTGGATATGTCTCCGCCCATTGGTGTGGACATCCCGAGACCCCTATCCCACGAAAAACGGCCCGCCCGGCATCTGACCGTCTTCCCCCCCTCAGTCGATTTCTCATGTTTTCTACATGG